GATAAATATATATATATATATATATATAAGTGAGTGTGTGTGTATGTGTACATGTGTATACGCGCGTGTGTTTGTGTGTATGTATGTGTGTACACACATGTATGTGTATACGTGTGTGTATACATGTATGTATGTGTGTGTGTGTGTACACGATACCTGTGTACACGCACAAATATATACATGATGTATGTGCACGAACGCATACACATGCATATGGATCGTGATATATTACAACAATGAATATACGTGTTTATAGACTAAAATTAAAGAACATGTCCATATATCATTATAGAATTCATTCAATCATAAATAAGAACGATTGCACATGTAGATAGTTTATTTCCATGTTTTTCCTCGACATTTGACGGATAAACATCACACAAACATGCCCGCTATATTACGTCTACTGAATTTATATATCTGTTTTTCTTTCTCTGCCGAGATGCTGACAACTCCACGAGCTAACTAACCTTGACACTTATCTCCAAACCCTCAAATAGTCACATACCGATGTTTACGATGTTCTGGTTGATGTTGTGCGGTGGAGGCTGCTTCTAAAACACTAGTATCTTCTGTCGCCCTGTTGGTATTCGCCTTGCCGATCTCTATAGTACGCAGCAACTCATTCAGTCGATTCGAGTCCAAGTGCTCGGGGTTGGATGGGCGGTGTAACCTTTGAGATAGAGCAGACAACGGACTCCTCGAATGATGTGTTCGTCTGCTATGATTTGACCCATTATTGGTTGTACGAGTATCGTTTCCGTTAGATCCAGACACCCTGGGTTTAGTAGGTGAGAGCCTATCATCTTGAGGTCTCTTGTCTTTTTGAGTATGTGTTTCAGGTGTGGCATTTGGCGGGGTGCGTTCTATATCCTCGTCCGACGGTCCTGTGGTGCCTAACCCTAGCCCATCCTTAGTAGCGGGCATTGCTACACAGACTGTCAGTGTGTACCATCATGTCATGGCCTTCGTAATGGTGTTCAGTATTTTGTAATATTTATGTAAATATAGGCAAATCCGCGAAATAGGGCTGCTCAAATACATAGCAGGACAATATATGTAATAGTTTACCGAATGTTGTCATCAAGCACAGGAGCGAATGTAAAATATATAATCAGATCCGATAACGATAATATCATAATAAAGTTTTCTACTGACTACTCTCACCCATTTGCCCGTAAGGCAGAAAACGTTCATCGTAAAAGCAAAGTTGATATTTATATTTTGTTTTGTTTTAATAAAAAATAAAAATAAAAATGTATTTTGTTTATTATATAAACACGCGTATATTTACAGCTTAAAAAACGGTTTTATTAAAACTTTATGTCTTCTTTAGAAGGCAATGACTTTAACGCTAAAAGAATTTTTATTTCATTTTTATGCGGGTCTATTGTTTTTTGAGAGTGACAGTCCAGACTCCCAAACTTTTTTTTTTTGCAATTATGAGAGAGTTAGCGAGCTAAAACCCTAAAGCCCTGCCACTTAAAAGACGCTTATCTCCATATGACCACGAAATCACAAATACCAAAGTGGTATTCCGTATTCCATTGTGCTTTCACGAAATCCCGACATGCGTTTGGTACCTTAGTGTGCCACAGGTGTAGCCATTTTGGCCCTTTCCGTAACATTTGAAGGGCTCTTGAGCAGTCAGAGGTCTATAAATAAACGGATAGGACTATACGTATGCTGTTAGTGATATTAACTTCTTTGTTGTCAATAAACACACAATTTGCCACCACCGCTCGCGAGAAAAAGCTGTAGCATCCGTTGTACAACGACAGGTTTCTAGATGACAAGCTTGTCTCTTTGTGAGTGAGTACACTAATTTTAGAGCCATTGTAAACAGATCTTTTAAGTATAGCTATGGTATTACAAGAGATTCTCACTACCCCCCTATGAGTATCATTGGCCGATTTTCGCTACGTGAAAGCGCATACATGCCAGCATGTTGCGATTTTTTCCTTCGCACAGCGGCCCCAATCAACTCTCCCAGATTCTCATCGTTCTCGCCGTCTCTGATGGCGTCTCGCAAACTGACTTCGGCATTTCCGAATAAGCACACCTGATTTGCATTCATTTTCAAGTACAATATCGAGTCTAAGCAAGTTGAACACGCTGTTAAATAAATTGTACTATACACTTCCTACAGACACATTTGACATGTTATCGTTCCGACAATAGAGTGGTAGTGAATACATGTAACCCAGCATTGATATCGTAGATGAATAAACATTTTTCCCCCGATTGTGTAAAATGCTCTACTGACCTTAAGATTGCCGTCAGCTGTAATGCGCAGTCGGTTGCATGTTCCACAGAAATGATCGCTCATAGATGTGATGAATCCAATCTGCCCCTCATGGCCATCCACCTTATAGGCCTGTGGAAACATAGTAACATTGCGCTGTGAGAAGATGGACTAGTGCATGCCTGATCAGTACTACATACGAACATCGGTTACAGACATTTGCATAGCCCCATGGGCAGACTTTTAGAATTGATACGAATCTTTCGAATACACCTTTTAGTTACTTGGGCGGGAAAATATCATAACCCGTGGTACTGAAATGGCAATGACTGCAGCTTTATAGATACACGCCGCTGACCGTAGATGCTATCTCCATGCCGAACTCCAACAACACATTCACCAAATGCCTTGTAATTCTAAGCTAGATATATCGGCAGAAAATCTGACAAACGGGCAATGGCACTCGCAATGAAATGCCCCTTTGAATTACCTTTGATGTATCGTTCGGATGGTCCTGTAACCTAAGAATATCTATATACTTGCTGCCTATCTCTTCCAGTAACGAGGTATACGAGATGAACTTCTTATCATCCCACTTGTTGCCACCGAATGGCATGTATTCGATAAATCGAATGTCGATATCCCGTGTCCGCGTAAATTCTACGAAATCGTTCACCTGAAAATTCGAGCAAAACAATTGTCAGCAACGACTGACATTGAGAAAGTTTAGACAGCTTAGGCAAAACACTCAACTGGTTCAACGAGTGAGAACTGTGATATACGAAGCGACACCACCATATAAAAAAATTGACGAACAAAATTTCAATACCTCATCATCATTAAACCCCTTGATAACCACGCAATTAAGCTTTAACCGGTTAGGGAAGTCCATAGCCAATGCGGCATCAATGCAGGATAGAACTCTCTTCAACGCAGGCCGCCGAGTTATCAGATGGTACTTAGGGGCTACAAGGGTATCCAAGCTAATGTTTATCTGTGTTACTCCAGCATCCTTCGCGCAGTAACAGTAAGGCATGTTAGTGCACAATATATATTTATATAATGTTTTTTTTGGGGGGGGGGTGGGTAAAATTCGGTAAACGTAAAAATCTGTTGATAAATTCTGAAAAGATCAAGCTTGTGTAGACAATTCGCACCAAAAATCAAGATACCTTTAGGGCTGGCAGCATTTTCTCCAAAGCGATACCATTCGAGGTCAAAGCTAATCCCTTCAGTCCTTCGATCTTCCCAAGACGCTCTGTTGCATAAAAAAAAGGGTAGGGACGTTTACATAACAGTCAGACTAGCTACTGCAGGCCGTGTGCTATATATATGTATGTGATACTACGCGCCTTTACACTTCAACGATAGATACGTTAATGAAAAGTGTCCAGAGTTTAATATCGTTGTGCACGTGTTCTGTCACCACACGGCGATCAATTAAGCGCATAGGTTCGTAAAACGTACTGAACAGCATATAATCAAATTGACGCGCAGACTGTACACATAAATTGTCGCGCAGCCTAAACTGCAAGTTTGACCAAAAAAAAGTGGCCAATCAACTAAGTACACTACAAAATGTGTATATACGAGACAGCGTTGACCGTCAGTATAGTGAATTGCCGATAATATCAAAGTGATTGTGATGGGTATATCACATTAGTTGAACGAGCTATAAATGTTTGCTATCGAAACTTATCAATATAGACGCCAGTTCAGTGATGCCAGCTGCATACGAACACCCAATATATAAAAGCCAATTTAAAACTTCTAGAATTTACAACTCAATTGGCATGTCGAGGTCGTACCGCCGATAAACATCTCATTAGAGGGTGTATATGTATGTATGGCAATGGGAGAGCACTCTTGAGTTATGCACACCACCATAAATTTTAGTTGTAAGTGCACTGAGATGGAGTCCAAATATCAAAACACACCTACATTTCTCCACACTCAAACAATGCGAGTAAGAGATAAACTCCCATACAACCAAATATATCGCTATTCGTAAAAAGCTTAAAACGATATATCAAAAAAAGACCACATACGTCGAAATGGATTCACCACAACATACCACAGAGCTGAACGAAGTCTTTCCTGACCGTCGGTTCGCCTCCTGTGAGCCGTATCTTCTCCACACCCTGTGACACAAACAACTCAGCTAGCCGTACTATCTCATCTGTTGACAGTAACTGCGATCGAGGCTGGCGATCAACTCCTTCTGCGGGCATGCAGTATGTACAGCGTAGATTACAGGACTCCGTTAACGATATACGGAGGTATGTGTGATGTCTACCGAAGGAATCCGTCAGGAAATCCGTGAAGGGCAATGCATGCGGCAACTTCAATTCAGTCGCTGCAGCCGAGCTTTGCAGGGCTTTCGAAACCCTCAGCTTAGATGTTATTTGTTGTTTGTGATTGTGGTTGTGGTTGGATTGTCGCAGAGGATTGCGTTTAAGCGATGTTTCCGATGTATTAGATATGCATCGAACGCCGACCGTACTAACTCGAGGGTGGTCTATTATACTCGGAACGACCTTCTGAAATGTGTGCGTGACATGCTGTAGAGGTCTAGTAGGATAAATGCCACCTGCGTTTGTGTGGCTCCATACGCACCTTGAGCGATACATGCTTTCTACTAGAAGATGCTACAAATGATTGAAGAGGATATGTATATATGTATATTATATGTACTGAACCGACCTGAGTTGTACGGGATTAGACTGTTTTTCCGACAGATGGTAAGTGTATACTTCTCAACTGTCCAAAATGATATGTGGCACCAACTAGTACCCTTAACTTACATTCACGATATTTATATAGTATGTAGCTCTAACCTCAGGTTCGACACCGACTAAAATATGATTAAAATGTCACAGCAATCAACAAACAAGTTGGACAGTAAACGCTGTGTTTGCTATGGATAAAGTGTCCAGATCGTCGTACACGGACTGCCAGAAGAGCAACCAAATCGTGAAACAAATTGAATGGTATGAAAATCTATGACGTTCACGTCTCCACCGCGTCTACATCCTATTACTGTACATTCCACAACGCCTATAGTCTGTTCCAGTGTTCCTGCACATCCCAAATGCACAGTGACCAACGACACAATTACCAGAAGAATTAAATATTTATTACAATTTAACAACGAAATAAAAGGAATCATAGCCGCCTGCTCTTTTTTGGAAGGCTATGCTGTATTTACTATTTCAGCTGTAAATAGTATACAAAATATATTTGCTCCCTAAAATTACTCCAATACTGATCACACATCACACATGATGTCATCGCATAATAAGTGTCATCGGTTTTATTTTGGCTTCGAGGTTTTATACGGCCTGAAACAACCAGATGATAAACCTTAGTTAATTATGTCTTGCATAAGGTTTGTACAGTTTTTCTACTCTGCCTTTCGAGAAAAAGCGCTAAATAATTTTGACGTTGAGGGCTGAGCCGCGTGGACCCTGGGTTTTGACTACGCGACATGTTCGACACCTTTATTTCAACTTATCTGTGTTGTGTTTATTTACCTCTTTGCATTCAAAAGTAAGGATATGTACGTCTATTATATCAGGCACGGTATTGCACGCTTATAGTGGAGACTTGCAATAAGTCTAAATAAATATTTAATCAGTCAGAAAGTCAGAAGAATACGAGTATATATCCAAATATGATGGCACAAGGAGGACCGGGCGGCATGGTATGTATTCGTATGGCAGTGTACATTTTTCGATATTTATGTTACGATGTATTGCTATATATGCATATTATATATATATATATATATATATATATATATATATATATATATATATATATATGTGCGATATTTGTGTGAGGATGTACATTGCTATATATGCATATTATATATATATATATATATATATATATATTTATTTATATATATATACATATAAATGTGTGTATGTACATGTTTATATATATATATATATATATATATATATATATATATATATATATATATATATATATATATATATATTGGTTTATATATATATACATATATATATATATATATATATATTAGTTTATATAAATATATACATTTATAAATATATATATATATATATTTATATATAAATATATGTGTGCGTGTGTATGTGGATGTATAGGTGTGTATGTATATATGTTTATGTATGTATATAAATATATGTATATATATCACAATATATGTATATATATTCTTTTGGAATCGATCTATTTAAATTACAAGTACATCCCTGTATGCGACCTTATGTTATCGATCTGTTCCTGAGCGTCCTACCTGCTTGTGGTAGTTGGAAACTATGACAATGAGAAGGCACTCAATTTGATTGGCTATCGATGACATCGGTAACAATATACATTTTTCTCTATCTGTCTATTATAGTGTAGCTTCGACCTCCCACTGGTGCATTTTTATAAAAGTCATTGCTTGCGTCAACTATATATGCTCGCGATCTCTTATATACATATATATGTATTTATCGGTATTTTTCGAGTTGTCGCTTTCTTTGCATTATGCATTACGACAAGCTTATATAGGGATTAATTAGCAATCGAACATCTTGAGATATGGGATTTGAATTTTAAAAACCCTTTAGAACATGTATTGTAGATTCAATTTGATGGATTACGCTACTTTTTTATTTATGCGCGCACACACACACACATAATATATATATATATATATATATATAATGTATTGGTTCATACAAATGCATATTTATATGTTTGCATTTGCAAGATTCGCGTGTATATATATATACATATAAATATGTATGTATATGTATATATATATATATATATATGCATATGTTCGAGTACATGTATACACTGACACATGCATGTTTATACAATATTTATATATGCACATACTTCCATAGGTAATGTACTTTATTGTCACGACATAATTTTTCGGATCTTTTCTACGTTGTACCTCATTTAATAGATGCTTTATACGTATAGCACACACATGTACTGGGTACACATAACTGAGTCCATACAGTCCATGCTTGTGGTAAAAGGTGGGATCCATCTATTTGAATAAACTTAGATATTACATGCATCTATTTGAATGAACTTAGAAATTGCATACCTGTGGGTCATGCATTGTCACGCTGATATGTTTCATTTTAGCTTCAATCCCCTAAAATATCGGTTATTTATATTGTCATGTATACATATATTTATATATATATATATATATATATCAATGCAGATAAACCAATCTAGATGCATCTAGAAAAGTTCTTATAATTATTCACACTTTTGTATGTACATGAGGGTTTCGGTAGGCACAAGTCTGTTCATCCATTAACAAATTATTTAATGATTCGTATGTACAATCGACAAGGTAGGCACAAATACATTGTACGTATTCACGGATTTTAGCTGACCTCTCTAGGCTATATCTCATTACTGAGCACACCTTCATTGATTCTTGCCAATATTGTTTTCTTCAAACCCACAGCGTCCCCCAATCATTCTACTCAAAGAAGGCACAGACACGTCGCAAGGCAGAGCACAGCTTATCAGCAATATTAATGCATGCCAGGCTATCGGAGAGGCTGTACGCACAACACTTGGTCCCCGCGGTATGGACAAACTCGTTCTGGATAACGCCGGTAAGGTGACAATCTCCAACGACGGCGCTACGATTATGAGTCTGCTCGATATTGTGCACCCAGCTGGTAAAACACTGGTAGATATTGCTAAATCACAGGACGCCGAGATTGGCGACGGTACGACAAGTGTGGTACTTTTGGCTACAGATATGCTCAAGGAGAGTAAGGCGTTTATCGAGGAAGGTGTGCACCCGCAGATCATTTCCAAGTGCTACCGACAGGCTGCCGGCCTGGCCATACAACACATCAAGGACATTGCGGTACAGATCTCTCGCTCGGACGAGGGCGCTACGCGTGATATGCTGCTGAAGTGTGCTGCGACGAGTATGTCCTCCAAGCTGCTATCAAGTCACTCAGATTTCTTCACAAAGATGGTGGTTGACGCCGTGATGGTACTCGAGGATGATCTGCCTCTTGATATGATTGGCATCAAGAAGGTATCGGGCGGACATATAGAGGAATCGATGCTGGTGAAGGGCGTAGCATTCAAGAAGACGTTCTCCTATGCCGGTTTCGAGATGCAACCGAAACGATACACAAACCCCAAGATTGCCCTATTGAACGTAGAACTCGAGCTCAAGGCCGAGCGGGACAACGCCGAGGTACGTGTGGACAATGTTTCGGAATATCAGAAGATTGTTGACGCGGAGTGGACCATTCTATACGAGAAGCTAGACCAGATTGTGCAGAGTGGGGCCAAGGTGGTGCTATCCAAGCTACCCATCGGAGATGTGGCCACCCAGTACTTTGCCGACCGTGATGTGTTCTGTGCCGGGCGTGTCTCGCTGGACGATCTACGACGTACCGTCAAGGCGTGTGGGGGTGTGGTACAGGCCACGTGCTCGGATCTCAACAGCAGCCTGGGTGAGTGCGAGCTATTCGAGGAGACGCAGATCGGAAACGAGCGGTTCAACTTCTTCACCGGGTGCAAGAAGGCACGCACATCCACCATCCTGCTTCGTGGAGGTGCGGACCAGTTCATTGAAGAGACCGAACGTTCACTGCACGATTCCATCATGGTGGTCAGACGCGCACTCAAGAGCGACACTGTTGTGGCTGGTGGAGGTGCTATCGAGGTGTGTGGGCTGTGCTCGTATGTGCTTGAGTCAGTTTTGTGGGGAATTTTATCTTTTGTGCACAACAATGTTTAAGCGTACATTTGTTAATGAATTTTGGCACGATTACAAGTGTAATGCGGCTGCGGCTAGCTTTCAGAGTGGAAGTTTCATGCATATATATTGTACCGCGAATCACATCTAATTTTGTAAAGGGGGGCCAGCGTATAAGGGGTATGATGTAAGTTTGTAGTTCGTTCATCTAAGTGTATTGTACCACAAATGAGTTTGATTGTCTATTTTGTGCCTTGTTGCATCATTCCAAAACCATTTCAGTGAATATTGAAACTTTTTGGTGATGGATGCGGACATTTGAACCACCTTTTTAGTCTATTGGTGCACCTGGTATTTTCTAGATATTGGTGCCTGGTTTGTACCTTTCTATAAACTTTCTTTTCATGATACTATGAGACGTCGGTTGTTACTTTCGATCTATAGTTCAGATCAGTGTATCTAGTACAGTACATCTGCCATTGTACGATTTCTACAGTAATAGTTTAGTGCTCATGCACCTGCTATCGTAATAATAATCCCAGATGGAACTCAGCCGATATCTGCGTGAACACGCACGTACCATTCCGGGTAAGCAACAGTTACTTATCGGAGCCTTCGCCCAAGCGCTCGAAATTATCCCGCGACAGCTCTGTGAGAACGCCGGTTTTGATATAACCAAGATCCTTACCAAGTTACGAACGAAGCATGTCAACGGTGGTATGTGGTACGGAGTGGATATCAACACAGAAGACATAAGCGACAATATGGAGAAATTTGTGTGGGAGCCTGCGGTCATGAAGATCAATGCTATTGGAGCCGCCGCCGAGGCCGCTTGTATGATCCTGTCAGTAGATGAAACCGTGAAGAATCCCAAATCAGGACAACAGGTATGGTGATTCATAAATTGCGTGTTTTTTATTGCACTTGCTGTTGCATAGTTGTAGTCATCGCGAGATGCTTCTGTACTTTTACTGCTTAGCTCATGGATTAGCCAGGCTACAATAGAGAAACGCGTGCTTTCTATTTTGTATGGTACTTCTAGCTGTCTGATATAAAAGCCAATTTCAGCGTATTCACCTGACTTCGTTTTTGCCCTGCAGCAAGGAAGATAATTGAAAACTTAAACCAGTGATCGACTCGAGTGGGACCGGTTGTCGTACAGGTGTATACGACTGTCGCCCAACCAGTTTACAACGGCAGTTGAATCGCCTTCGTCGAGCTGGCGGGATGTCGCGATGTATATATTGACAATAAATAAATGTTAGCTTTTGACCCAAACTAAATTGGAGGTTACCACAGAGGATCATGTCAAATCTGGCGACTTGGCTGCCTCTGCTTCATGTGAAACTGCAGAACCCACGTATTTCCGTTGTATGTTCGATTAAAATTTATTTGTCGAGCAGAGTGCCCCTGTTGGATGCATATTTAATCAGCTTCAGTTGAATGGTCAAGGACGTTGCAGCCGAAATCATTTAATTATGACACCTTTCATTCAGATCAAGGGTGTTATTATCCCAAATACACATTTGTCTGCCTCTGGCACTTTCATATCGTGGTTTGCCTCATGTGTACTCTGACGCTCGACGCAGCCAGCTGAGCACACTAGCAGTTATCATTGTTCAATCAAACCTAATTATTTTATTGAAGTTTTATCTATAAAGTATTCAATGATATATTCGTTGCGATATCTGTGGTTCTTGCCGCCGTTGCTGTTTCGATGCTTATTTTGCTTCTTGTTATTGTTCCCCGTGTGGCCAGTGGTCGTGTATTTACGCGTGCCGGTGGAAAGGGTTCCGCCGAAAATTCTGGGTGATCCACAATGTAATGTAATGGCCCTGTTCTCAATCAACTCCAGCTGCGGTCCGTACTCATCAACATCACTGGCGACTACTCTAGCAATGTTCTTGTTGTGCTTATCAATCTTAAACTTGAGTGCACCATACTTACCAGAATAGTCCCCAACCTCGCACGCATATGGGTTTTTCTCATACTCGTCAGGACTACATGTGTAGATGAAGTCATCGCTGCCCACGCAGCGATCTATTGCAGCGCAGGCCTCTACTTCATCAGTAGCCGGTCCGCAGGCAAAGGTAGGATCATAATGTCCTCCCACAGGTGGGCTGCCGGCCATGGCACCACACTCCGCACCTACCCTCTGTCTTCCAAAGGGCTTGCCTACTTGAATGTGCCAGTTCATATTGATGTAGTCACTGTCTCTGCAAGCTTCGTATAAATCGCTGTCGGCGTTAAATATCTGCATTTTGACAGCCCACTCGACACTGGCTCCCTGATCCTTGAACGCATTAGTCCCTTTTGCGGCACTATTATCAACGTTCATCGTAAGTTTGTGGGTGGCCTGTGCAGTGGCAATTATCGCTGCGGCGGCAATGGTAGCTGGGAGTTTCATTTTTACTGTTGTTGTGATGTGTATTATTTTCTGATGAGAACAACTAATATATAATACCTTTATAGCTGTCTGTCTCAGTGTCTCTATTCTAACAGTGTATCTGATATTTTGTCACGTTTTGAAGTTGGCATTGTCGGATCCATCATTCACAAAAAAGGCATAACTGTTCTAATCTAGTATGTAATTTAGGAGGCTATGGCACAATGAACACAATTTTTATCAATATCTCGAGTATGCTATTTCCATTGGTTCATCATTGGTCCACTATTGCTCCTGAACACATTCTGCATTTGCTCGCAAATCTAAGATTGCACATGACGTCATTATTTCTTTCTCTGTGAAGTGTGTGACTGTGTGTAGTTAAAAGTGTTAACTGGTTACATATGATTGCTTGCTCCTATTTCAGCTCGTGTTCAATGCTAATACACAGCTACACATGTAAATAAATCGTTCTAGACCTTTCCGCGTCAGACTTTGTGTATGTCGATTTGTATTCGTCGTGAGTTCAGGATGCATTTGTAACAATGCTGAGTGTAATGAACTGAGTGTAAATCGGAAATTACAAATGATCCTGTTGTATTTATTGTTTTAGCTGATGCAGCCTGTGTCAGGTGTATTAGTGCGAATACCAGATTACATACTAAAGAAACCCGTGAATGAGAATCATGTTAGTGTATAATTAATAAAGCATTTAAGTTAAAGTTAAATTGTTGGCCTATTTGTTCTGAGAAAATTACTGCTTCGTAAGTTCGCAGTCCAGGCACAATATATCGACGAAATTGAAACAAATGAATGTCTCAATTTATCAATTTACTCGTTAATACAGTAACAGTGGTGAGGCAAATTATACAAGCTGTCACTGTTGCGAGCAGCACAACCAGATGATTTAAATTGACCGATGTATTGGTACAGCGTACATGCTCGTGTAAGTGAATTTAAACAGCAGTGTGAGTAATATAGCGAGCAACCCCACCTCGACACGTGTTCGCATCTAATCACTTCCGGCTGAGTCAGATTGCAAATAGTCTTGACAAGGGATCGGTAATGATAGTATACATCTCTTATTAGGTTATTTCTATCAAAAGAGGACAGACTATATGTTTCACTATTAAGTAAGATGGGCAGTGTGGGAAAATTCCCGATTTTCGGGTTTAGGAGATATAACATTACCAAGCTTGATCAAAAAGCGCTTCACGGTGGTGTTGGTATGAAACAATCTCTATTTTAATATAAGATCTGCTTTATTTCTCCATAAAACGTATGCTATTTCGATCGATAACCTCGAAAACTCTCGTTGAGGAGTGCTCTACGGCTGTACGTCAATCAATCTTGATCCTTCTGTGAATTAAAACAAACCGGTCGTGATTTTTTAGCTGTACGGTCGCTTGTACAGGAGTGATCGACAGATGCGCGCAACGTTCCCTTTCCCAAAATAATTGTGAGGTATGTAAGGCAGATGTAAAAAAATACGGAGAATGGTGTCACAACCGGTGAAAACGCTTATTCACGACTGCTCAACGGTTACGCGCAACATTATGTTTATAATTTTCAGGGCAGATTCCAACCAAAATATTTGTTAAAGATACTTTCTCGGCTTTACGATTGATGAAACAATTTGGCATTTCGTCGACGGATAATTTGATTTAGGGCGATTGGACGGAATGATTGTGTATGTGCTGGTATTTTATTTAAATTACCGGTGCCCGATACTGGCTCAGGCCATCATCTGATTCATAAGGTCGCCGAAAATTCCCCCACTTCTTTGCGCTTGAATGCGGTAGTAAGATTCACCTATTCTGTTCACATACTGCATATGATATAGTCGATAGTGGAACGGGAATGGTCAGCAATGTGGACACAGATAGGGAGAATACTTTCATATTCATCGGATGAACTTTAATACAATATGAAACGGAGTTAAAAATTTGTGAAAAATGTTGAAAAAGAGCGTCGATGGACAATGGAAAACTTATTGGTTGTTGAGCCAAATCGTCAATATGATGGCGATCCACAAAAGTGTAGACCTTACTGGCGACAAGCAGAGATCGTAGCAAATGGTAGTACGCAGCAAATTGCCCAGGGGGCTGACAATATGCATAGCAAACGGATATCGCCGGAAAAGGGTGTGACAGACCCAAAAATGATGGATGAGAAACAGAAAACAAATATTGTTCTCAAACCAAATTTGTGCACATGTCGGGTTTACTTGCAGGACTGAATCACACAAAACTGCATGGATTAATGCAGCTACACAGCAGTGGGGGACATAACGATGAGAAAAAGTTGCAAACGAGCATATTCTCAAGTCACGCCTTTTCGCAGGTGGGATACAATTGTAGTACATCCCAAATAAGTACGCACGTACACACGTATACACACACACGCACACACACACACACACACACACACACACACACTATATATATATATATATATACTAATATAATAATACATATATATATATATATA